ACAACTCGAATTTCTGCCCCCAGACCATACCCGGCTTCTACTGATGAAGAGGACAATAGGACCATATAACCTTCCCAACCACGCTTCTATTACGGCTGTCCCAAGTTGGTAAGAGACAAGGCGGGTATGAAGACAACCCGCCCGCCTCAGCTATCAGCCTCGCCGCCGCTGCTGTTAAAGATAGAGTGATGTAGGAGGGTTAAAATAACTCCCCGGGTCAATTTCTGACCAGTAGCCACTGCCGTGATGTCCCAGATGGTGTGAAAAGGGAGTGGGGAGGGCTAGATGGAAAAGCCTCATTGCCCAGTCGTGGCCTCCACTGCTCCTGCTGGCTCCCAGGGCTTCCTCTCCCTCAGCTGCAATCAATATTGTGAAATTGCAGTCAAGAATTTTTTTACAACTGCACTGCTCTGGGCCCAATCCAGTCAAGAGGAGCAACAAAAGGAAAGTCACAAAATGTCAATAAATATTTAAAGAAATGAATGTTGTTTATTTGCAATACATGTGTTTGCATGTGCTGTGTGCCTTCAGGCCGTTTCCAACTTATGGTGATCCTAAGTTGTTTGAGCTATCATGGGGTTGTCTGGCAAGATTTGTTCAGAGAGGATTTGCCATTGCCTTCCCCTGAGGTTGAGAGAGTGTGACCTGCCCAAGATCATCCAGTGGATTTCTTATTGCCAAGCTGGGAATCAACCCCAGTCTCCAGAATCATTGTCCAACACTCAAACCACTACACCAGCTGGGTCCTTGTAATACTTCCCTGTTGCTTAATATCACAATGCTTAGAAGCAATTTGGCCACAATGCAAAGGGCACCCAATGCCCAGTATCATTTGTCAACATTGTTTATAGGACACCAGGATCCCAAAAAGTACTTGCTCTGGATCTCTCCATCAGCTTCTGGTGGACGGTTAAAATAGCAAACACAAATCCAAAGAATCTTTCAAAACACTTGAGCAGGTTTTCACAGCATAACAGGATGTAGAAATGATGCAGTTTGAGGCCACTTTAAGTGCTGTAGCTCCATCCTGTGGAATCCTGGGGTTTGTAGTTTTACAAGATCTTTTGCCTTCTCTGCCAAAGAGGGCTGAAGCTCGGGTGCCACAACCAATTATAATTCCCAGATGTCCACAGGATTGAGCCCTGGCAGTTAAAGGTCCAAAACACACTGCAGAAATACTCCAGTTGGAGACCACTTTAACTGCCCTGGCTCAATGCTAGGGAATCTTGGGAACTGTAGTTTACTGTGGCCCCAGGGCTCTCTAACAGAGAAGGCTACATGTCTCACAAAATTAGAGTTCCCAGAATTCCATAGCATGGAGCCAGGGCAGCTAAAGCCGTGTCAAACTGGATTATTTCTGCAGTGTGTTTAGGGACAAAGTGGTGTCAACCACGGGTTATTTTTGCAGTGTGGATGCTGTGCTTTCTAGTGTGTTAAGCACCGCCAGCCGGCTTTGGATACATATTTTTGAAGAGTTTTAATGTTTGGCTTTGGATGCGTATTTTGAAGCATTTCAATTGTTTGGCTTTGGATGCGTATTTTTGGAGAGTTTTAATGTTTAGCTTTGGATGGGTATTTT